TATATATATATATATATATATATTAATATATGATATATATATGATATATTTTATGGGAAATATAAGTTAAATAAAGTGTTTTATTCATCTTAAATAAGACTAAATACTTCTTATGAGTTTTATATGAAAAATTTTTTATTTCTATAATTTTTTTTAAATTTACCAGCTCTTTAAAATTACTTACAAACTTACCGTAATTTACCGAGTAAGTTATTGTCACAGATTGGGTCATTTTCATCTCTATTCTGAATGCATCGGCAAGCCACGTGACGATTCTCTGCCCTCGTCGCAGAAACGAGGAATTAAGCCAATCTACGACAATTCAATACGAAGAGAGACAGCTGAATAGTAGTAATAATCCATCTCGGTAATCGAACGGCAAACAAATCGGCCGAGTTTAACATTTGATGCAACAATAATTTGTCACCATTTCACGCGCGTTTCTCAAGCAGGCCGCTGTCGCGAACTATAATTGAGACTGATCGATTGTTTAAAGGAGCCTGGCGTTCTCGAATGCACTCAGTGCAAAACAAATGCTGACGAGTATAACCCCGTTTTCTCTCTTTTTCTTTTTGCAGATTTTAGATACGACCGTACGGAGAGGAGAGGAGTGAGCTAAAGTAGTCGAGTGATAGCCACGTTATTTCAGTTGGTTCATAATTTTCGTGGCGTATTAACGCAGAGGTAGAAAGCGAGAAACAGAGAAAGAGGAAACTGACAAATTTGCATATCGCAACCGGACAAACACACAGTCGTATGTCGTGTGAGAACCGGACAACGCTTTAATTTACGAAGCCCTAGCAATTTTCGACTCACGCGCCAAACCAGGCGGAGCTTTTCAACATAATGGTAAGTGATACAATTCTCGCAATTCGCAAAATCATTCTCATATACCGCTGAATTATAGTTGCAAAGCAGTTTGTGCGCTTCAGAATCTCCTCAGAATTTAACCTCTCTTTATAGTATGATTTCACAGGATGATTTAAGACGTCTGCGCGATTTCCCGCAGACTGAGAAGAGATGTTCTTTTTTAAACAAGCATATCCACAGATTTCTTTCCTCATTTCTTACTGTTTTCCTTGAAGAATTTTAAGAAACAGAGTACGAAATGTCTAATTTGTATTCCCTGCGAAAGAGATACAATAATTTAAGTAAAAATTTAAAGAAATTTTCCGAAAGGAATATAATGTCTTACCGTGAAACTTTTTCGGATCATTTAAGAGACGAAAAAGAGGTATAAACAGGATTAACAAGAACTGAAACAAAAGACACGGTAATGTTTCGCTGCCAAGTCTTTCTGATCAATAAGATTGTGCGTCTCACGCAAAGGTCAAATTTTTTACCTGTCCGATACTACGCTTCGCCACTGGCTAGTATTGATAGATGTGATAAGCAGTTCGTGCATGCATGGTCATGCACATCAAGATCGTGACATCAAGAAAGTATCTGAAACAAATAAAATAGGGTACCGTTACTTAGACTCTATATTACGAGAAACTTTTTAAGAATTTATACAAAATCTAGTATATACACGCAAAAAAATCTCAGTTGTTGCGAGCGAATATGAACCAACTGAAAATTAGGTGATCAGAAGCGATATTTCTGTTTTGAAAATTAATATTTTTTTTTAAATAACTAAACTATTTTTTTATATAATTTTTCGTATAAAAAAAGAAAAATGAATCTTATTAAGTCTTGTGTTCACAGTGTTAGAAATCAGTTCAAGAAGCATTAACTAATCAATTTGCCGCTTTTCCGTAAAAGCCACAAATTGATTGATTGATATGTGCATATTTTCATGTGAGGCTTTCTTTCTCATGTTGGTAAAACTGCATGTGAAAATAAACTTTGTTATCATTGAAACTTGGCCGATTTGCTGTCTCATACGTCATTTACTTGAAAAGTACGTAATGTGTTGAGCTTTTTAATATTATTCTTTTTAAATTTTTTGTTCCTTATATTAAAAATTTTAAATGTAAAATTAAAATTGTAATTAAAGCGGATTTATTGTTTGACATATACACGCATATGTCAAAATGACTCCGCAAAATTCATAGACTTGTTATTTCAACAGTATCACTAATCCGCAGATATTAAAATTATTGCCTAGAAGTTTTTGTTGGTACCACCATTTTCCCATCTAGTTTTCGGGAAAATGTTTTGTAATAACAAAATATAACCGGACAAACCGGACAGTAACATCATATAAAACTAGATACACGAAATACACAATTTAATAAGAAATTAATTACAATATCATTTTCCAAACACTATTTTAAAACAGACTGGTTAAAATAATACAAAAATTACTATTGTTTATAAAATATATTATATTATTGAAAACAAAATTAAATTTTTTATACATGATATTTATAATATTTTATACATGTGAAATTCGTTGTAAACGTTTTGATAAAATATTTAAAACGTTTAATAACATTAAAATGAAAAATTTTAACCTTTATTAAACATAAAATATATGAAATATAATTTGTGATATAACATTAATATTATAATCTAAAAGGCATTTTATTAATTAAATTTGTATTTCTCTGTATTTCTTACTACTTTTAATAGATTTGGCATACTTTACAAATTCATTATATGACATGTAAAAATTAATGACAGTAAATAATTCAACTTTGACCAGTTCAACTTCCATTCTATTTCTTGATTTTGTTCATGCTTGCTGCATTAAACTGAAAACTCTTTCTGGGAAAGTATTACTTGTTTGTATTGAAAGTATAACCTGAACTATTTTTAGTAAGTTGTTTGTAATAAAATTACACTTTTTGAAAATATCTATCCATGCTTCTCGCACTGCTTCTCGCAGTGCATGATCGTTAATGGACGCTTGGAATAAAAACACATCACTGAAATCCAAACTCTGTTTATAAATTTTTCTCTTTATGATATAAATTGCATTTTATTAGTTGGATGTATTTAAAAATTGGACATATGATATCCGGTTTAACTAGTCAACAGGACGCCGGACAAAACTCCTAAAAAACTGATAGTCCGGGTCAAAACCAGACAATCGACAACCCTCATACCTCTTGTCCATAACCTTGCTTTAATTCTTAAACCGTAAGAAATTGACCAACCACAGTTGATTATTTTTAAAATAATCGACTGTGGTTGATCAATTTATTACGGCCTAAAGATTAAAGCAATATTGTGGACAAGGGGATAAAAGATTTCTGTTCCTACAGCAGAGTTTTGATCTCTGAGGAACCGAAAATTCGGTTGCACTAACAGAATTGTTTTTTCCGTGTATTTTTATAAGACAAAATAGATATTTATAAACATTTATTTATTTGACTAATTAATAATGATTAATCGAATCACACCGTTATTGTATATAAGATATTGTTCTTCTCGCAATCGTTAAACCGTAGTTCCGCGACTTTACATAACTCGATATTCGCAACGATCGCGATACATATTGCGGCGTGCAGCCTATTTACATAGTAAGCTATATCCCGAGTCGCTCTTCAAGTCGATGACCTTCCCCATGGTCAGCAAAGTGAACGTCTTACGAATTCGTTCGGTTACTCCGGCCTGCTTGTCGAACGCATGGAAATTTCCACTCGATCCGGAGAGACGCCCCAAAAGATTTATACCCCACCGCCTGCCGGCTATATTCTCGCGCGCAGAACTGCTTGTCATTCATGTAAATACCAGGGGGATTACGTTCGCCTGGTTCCTCCCATTAATCAACGTTTCCTGTTGCACTTAGCAGATCAGTTTGCGCGCCGGACCGCCGCGAGCCGCGCAATTCAATTTGTTTGTCGCGCATTTCGGGGACGCTTTAGGGAAAAGAAGGAAGAAAGGAAAGAAGGGAGGAGAGAAGGAAGCAAGAAAAGGAGGAAGAAAGGAGGAAGGAGTCGGTCTTTTCGAAAAAGGACTGTGCGAAATTACTTGGGGATCGAGAAATCCCTCGAGGGGAGGGGAGAGCCGGAACGGGGGTGTCGTGGGCGTTGAGCGTACTTGTGCCTCTTAATTGTACCTTGCGGGGAGTCACGATGACACGGCGTAATGTTATCGCTCGCGTAATGCGTACGTATCGTCGAGAGACTGACATAGAAAATTAACCTGTGAAATTGATCGTGCCATGCAGATTATCGCGAGCGTGGAGCAACAGGCACTTGCGTGCGCTGCAAACGCGAGAAACAGGCGTTCCATTCGGCGAACCGGTTCGCTTTGGCGAATCCCTGGTGTGAACCAGTGATACCACAAGTTTATCGATTGTCGTCGTTACGATCAAATACAAGACACAGAGGGGCGTGGATGGAACTTTCGTCCGTCCGCGACCGATCTCGGCTTGCGTTGCGTATCAGAACGGAGATAACGTTCCATAAGCCGAGTGTCTCATAGACCTGTTCTAAGTCGTTTGTCGGGGTGCAGCCGATGAGCCAATCAGAGGATTTATTTTTCGAGACGAGTTCTTTTCATTGGACCATCGACTGCGTTCCGACGTCCGACAGCGACATACGACGTATTGTAGAACCGGCCATAAACACGATCTCGGCTTCATAAGTATGAAACAGGACAATTAAAGCAGCGTCGCGTTTCACGTGTGCGATAAAAGTGAGCGAGCGAACGGGCGAGAATGAGCGCGCTGTTGTGGTCGTTGGATGAGAAACGAGATCGACATCGGGTAAACATTTCTCTAACGGAAATTAATATATGCGAGAGGGCGTCTGTTGTCTGAACCTGTTTTTACCGAAACAACGGACTTCATCACGCCGTGGAATATCGAGTGGTTTCGCAAAGTGACGAGCTCCGTTATTTTCGTAGAACGTGTCCCGTTTTTTTCACCGAGGCGTCACTATTATTATTCCTTCCTTTCTCTCTTCCTCTCTCTTTCTCTCTCTCTCTCTCTCTATCTCTCTCTCTCGGAATCAAACACGCAAATCACGATTCGCGATAATCGTCGGACTAACCTCGTTCGCGAGTTTTGGCACGTTGACACGTGGGAAATGCGCGCGTGAATTCGAACGCGGCGGGAAACCTACAGCGAATAAATGCACACCTTGGACCTAACTTAACCCAACCTTTGACCTCCGAACTCCTCGTTTCCTTCTCGCACGATCATGCTTGGAAGGCGCGCCAAGGATCCGCGCGGGCTTCCGGTTGATTCATTAGCTAATCTGAGCGACCGCGAAATTCCGCTGTGAATTCCTTGCCCGGCCCCCGGCGCGTCCCCAAAGACTCCCCGGTGTCTTATCTCGTTTACCGGCAGAAACGCTAACGCCAGGATGGCCAGCGATTAATGGATTTCTCATTGTTTCTAAGCGATTGCTACTTGCATTATGCAAGAATGCTCGCCCTCGCGCGTTGTTGTTGTTGTTGTTGTGGAAGACTTCGGACGCGAGAGTCCGAACGCCATTATTTCGACACGCAGCGAATTTTCGAAAGCGAGTTTCCGAGAGCGTGTTTCGCGCGGATCGCTGCGAATGCGGACTCGAGCGCGAATTCCGCACTGATTCCCGCCGTTTGAACGATCGATCGGAATTTCGTGAGATGAGAGCGACGAGCGATCACCGGCGAAGGGAGCCTTCCTTTCCTCACGCAAAAGTATCATTATCGTAATTGCCAGTCTCTGTGTGTCGAAAGGCGCGGCCTCCTACACGAGAGGAGCCATTCTTCATTGTCATTCGGCAACGCCAGTCCACTTGAGACGCATTCCGATAGAAACGTCTAATTATCGAGTCTATAACGTATCGTCGCAGGAGGAGGGACCAGACGTAACGCATGAGAGGAAAAAAAAGGAGACGGACAGAAGGAGAGAAAGACCAAAGTTACACTGCCACGCGAGCTTGACCGTGACTAATAAGTGGTCGGATGAAGCCGACCTTGTACCACAACAACGGTATTTAATCACCGTCACGAAGCGCGCCGGTCACCGGCATAACGCGCGACTGAACAGCGCGTTTTTCCCGCGGCGTTTTTCAACCCGGGAAGAGCAGTTAGGCGAGGCAGAATGCAACGGCCAGGTCTCTCGGCAATTCGCTCACGGAGCGCAAAATGAGATCGCCTCTCTCTTTCTCTCTTTCTCTCTCTCTCTCTCTCTCTCTCTCTCTCTCTCTCTCTCTCTCTCTCTCTCTCTCTC